TGAAGTTTAGTGGAACAAATCACACTTGTTTTTGTGTCTGTTGTCCCAAAGACGCATATCACAAATAATATCTGTGTTTGTGTGGCTTTGATTGGAGTCAGAGCCATAAACTTACCTAAAAATTACATGCTGTCATAACTTTAATCGTTATGGTGATGGTACCACAAAATATCTTGATAGTACTTTAAGTCCATATCGCCCAATTCTACTATCTTATGGTCTATGCAGTCGGGAAAACGCTGGTCACTCAGGTAGTTCCATCTCATTTTCAAGTGTAAAAGCATTGAGACGGAAAATGTTAGGATTTTAAATCCGAAATTTCTCAAAAAAGAAAAAGAAATCTTGGTAGGACCAACTGTGACATGCCTAATAAGGAAAATAAGACAATAACTATAAAAAATTGTATTGTGCTTTGGAATAAAATAAATCCTTAAGTGTTTTTGAAACTTTTTTTCATGATCTAGTAAGTGTTCATTTTAAAGCTTTGGAGTATGCACTCTTGAGGAATCTCCTCCTATGCAGTTTGAGTTAAATAAAAAAAGGAAGAAAAAACTATCGAATAGAATAGAAGAAAAGCTGCTCTTCCAGGTTTCCACCTCACATCCAGCCCATCGAGATCCACAGCTCGACACCTAACTGGTGGATGTTTGGGGCAGCGAAGGGGAGAAGGTGGAGTGATTCAGGCACATGGTTCCTATTGGATCATTATCCAGGGTGGTGCAGAGTAATAAGAGCCACCTGTTGGCTAACGGCGTGCCCGCTCCGGAGCGTCCCGTCTAAGACAGAATACCTCTGAAGATATGGAGGCAAAGCTTTGGAAGCAATCTCCCAAATTTCAGCCACTCAGACCTGCTGCTCTGGAGCAAACACAGCAAAGATTTAACGATGGCACCCATTATTTGCACACATCATCAGTCTCATTCCTGCGTTTGCTAGAGGAATCTGAGCCATCATCCAGCAGGTGGCACGCCGGCAGGAAGTAGATGGTATGCGTGGAAAATTCCACCGAGTTCGGATCTGCAGAGTGCATTCTAGGCCATCTCTCAGCTGGCCTTGAGAGGAAGTCCTGAATATACAGGCTTTGATTTGACTAAAATTGGAATTCCAGCCCACCAAACACCCAACACCATTACACACCTCGGCTCTCAACGCGCTCCGAGTCGTTTGCTTGGACGAGCAAAGCAAACAGATCTCAAGGTGACTCGCCAAAGCGCTGCAGAAAACTTTCTGCAAACATAGTTTATAAGAGTGTGTTTTTGAAGGAACCAATAGACACTTATTGTCCTGAAGTGCTAATATATATATATATATATTTATATGAACAGGGACGGATTGAGAAGAATAAAGGCTCCTGGGCTAGAACCAGATTTGCTGCCCAATCGCAAAAAAAAAACAAAAAAACAATCTTTTACTTATGCAAATTACTGAACTTTAATAGGTAGGTCTACATATTTGCATATACAAGTTGATGTGTGGTTGGCTTAAAATGTGTGGCATCAATTTGGACCATGTTGGTCCCGAAATAATATGTAATTTCTAAATATTTGAGTGTAGTTTAAATTAATAAAATAATCCTATGTTTTACCCAAAAAAACACGCATGCGAAATGAGCCCGTGAACTTTAATATGAACCAGGGATGCACCGATCAACATTTTTCACTTCCGATACCGATATCTGAGGTTTAACATTGGCCGATACCGATCCGACACAGAAACGGTACAGAATTGGTTTAAAACACGTATTTTTAAAAAAAAAACACAAACCTGAATGTACTCAATTACAAATTTAAGTGACAACTCTGTACCAGTTAAATACACCAACAGCTTCACAATGTTGGTCAAACATGTAAAAACGACTTTAATTTGTTCAGTCAGTGCAATTAGGAGCATAGCACCAAACTGAAACTGACAAAAGCAGATTGACCACCTTAGTCAAACATGTAAATCAAACAGCCATCGATAATTTCTTTCCAATATTGAGACCGATGCATATTAATATCAGGATCAGTGCATCTCTAATATGAACACGAAAAATTAGTTTGCCGCCCTCCCCTTATTGTTTGCGCCCCGGGCTACTGCCCTTTCTAAAGTCTGGCCCAGTTTATGAAGCAAGAACAATCCAAACCTGACTGTGAGATCCTACAAACTTAAAAAAAAAAAAAAAGCAGCTTCTCCTCATATTTGTGTTTAACCTTGTCAGACGGGATGAAAGACAGCTTTCAACATGGAGACACGCAGCAGCTTTGTTGCAGGGAGGGCTTGATTGCACGTCAGAACAGAAGTCATCTGTGTTAATTAATATAAAAAAAAAATGTTTAAAAAAAAAAGCATGAGGCAAACCTCCAAAAGAAATTCACTCCTGCACAGAAAATCTTTTGAAGTCACCCTCCTCCTCCACCACACACATCATTCACTTTTTTACATCTCAATCTCTTCTACCTGTTTTATAAATGTTGTGCGCACGTACAGTAGGTTTTTCTGTGATGCCTTTAAACAGACGATCAAGGTGAAAAGATATGAATGCAAATCTCCTTGTGATGGTTTCCACGCATCCGCCGTGCAGAAAGACGAGCTTAAATGCGAGTGAAGAGAGAGAGAAGGAAAAAAAAAACAAGAAAGGGAATGGGGGGGGGCAAAAAAAAGTGAAACTTAACAATATAAAAAGAAAATCTTTTAAAGAAAGGAACTAAAAAGACCTCTGTAGCTAACAGCGTTATCTGTTTGGTGTTACAGCGCGGTTGCATCATGCCTCTCAGAACAAAACTCTGCACTCATCTTTGCTGACAATGAACACTGAAGTTGGCAGAAATTTGCTGTGAAACGAGACAAAAAAAGTGCAGTTTATGAAGAGGAGGAGGAAGGAGGGGGGGAAAGTGAGGCAACCTCCGGGCCTCGGGCTTTTGTCAGTGGGCATTTCTGGTCAGTGACCCTGTGGTGCACCGACTGGATAGGCAGCGATTCACACCTTTTATTATTATTATTGTTAAAATGAATTCAGCTGGTGAGCTTGATTTCTGAACGCCGTCAAACAGAACAATGTTTAATTCTGCAGTCTGAACGGAGACGATTCGGATTAACCAGCGCAGTTTGATAACACGGTGGGTTCAGATGGGGGCGCATTGATCAGCCTCCTCTGCCCCTCTCTAAGTGGGTCATTTATTATTACTGTTTTTTTTTTTCTGTAGGAAAAAAAGAAATTGGTTGAGTAAAAAGTTTGCCAAGGATTTGCGGTAATTATCTCATCCCCGTATAGCGGGGGCACAGCATGAGGCCTTGGTAAATTACACGTCTCCCTCCTAACTCCTGGATGGTTTATGGCCGTGCATTATGCATAAACCGCGCCGGAGCGCCTCAAACGTCCCCCAAGTGGATTGAAATAAAGTTGACGCTGCTCTTTGTTTGGAGCTCCACTCCGTCTTTATTTGGCAGTGCTGAATCGGAGATTGCTGTTAAAAAAAAAAAAAAAAAAAGACGTTCATCTTAATTATTTTTGGAGACTTTTTCGCCCTCCCTACTTCCCCACCACCACCAGTCTCGCAATGGTTCGTGAACACCTGAAGTGGTTTTCTTTTTTTCTTCTTTTTTTGGAGGGATTCCGGCTACAAATGGGCGGATGCTTGGGCACTCCGCTGGGAGATGTCACTCTTGCTGAAGCGGGAAAGAGGAGGGAGGGTGGGTTGCTGTACAGTTGGAAAAAAAAAAAGAAAGGAAGGAAGAAAAAACAGGAGCACAGACTGTTGGGGGGAACATTAATCTCAGACCCCACCAAGTCAGACGAAGTTGTTTAAATCTCGTCGAAAACCATTAAAATGTGGCTTTTTTTGTTTTTTGTTTCATGCTCAAAATAATAGAACTTGCTTTTAGAAAGTCTTTAAAGGTTTCTGTGGGGAGGAAAGTCTTAAAACAGAAAACGTTCCCTCTTACCGCTCGTTTTAAAGCCCGTAAAATGAGATCTATGGGAAACCTCCGGAGATCATCTGTGCCTACAGGTGCAGCCCCTTCCCTACTTGCTGCTGCAGACTGGTGCCCAGCTGGCTGAAAGAAAGCTGCCTTGTGCTTTCAAATTTTGCTCTTTGAAAATATGTCCGGTTGCAGAAAACACAAAAAGTTCAGGGTATGAAAACTAAAGAAAGGCAGCGCTGGTTCCCTCTGGTGTAAAGGCACTTGAGCACATTTAGCAGTTGCTCATTCTACATTTTTGCTCAAGTATGTGTTCAATTTAAAACAATTACTATTATAGATTATTATTTAACTGTAATAATCAATACATGCTAGTGTTGTTGCTCCATGATTTTAAATAATACATTAAAATGTCTCTTTTTATAACATTTTAGTTTTGTTTTTTTTCTTTGACACTTTTACACATTTACAATGAGTATCTGTTGTATAGCAACCCCCATGTGATAACAGTAATTTACTTTCAGTCAGTTTACACACTAATTCTGAGCTAAAGTTGCACTTGGAACTTCAACAGGGGGCTGGGCAGGCGGGCCATGGGCACCTTTGGGAAAAATGCTGGTACCCCCCAACACCCAAAGAAAATCATTGTTAGTTTATATAAAAGGCATACAGAGTCATTTTCTTCAATCAAGACATAAATGTAAAAACACAATCAATACATACATGAAGTTTTAAATATATATGTATTTATGTTGTTTAGTTGTGACACTCTAAAATTTTACCAGCCCTGTCTGGCCGTCTCTATGAAAATGTTCTGGGGCTACCACTATCTAACTTGCCTATATCCACAAATACTTGCTGTTTCTTTAAGAGTAAAATTATCTTTTATAAGTCTTAAAACAACTAATCATCATTTCAGGGTTTTTATGTCCTACATAAATTAACAGAATTTTTGTACATATATTTTTTGCTCTCCCTAGCCCAGCAAATGCTCCTCCTCTGCCAAGGAGTGAACGGGATGAGAAAAGACAGCGAATCTGTGGTCTGGAATCACCACAAGCAAGGCTTCCAAGGTGAGTCACTGACAGTAAATGTGTGCCCACACGTCGTGAGATGAACGCAACTTCTAACGCATTGCCTGTTTTACATCTCATAACCGAGATTCGAAGGCTTGCCTATTAAAGCCTGTACACGACGCGCAACTTCACACCAGTCCTGCCTTCCACGCAGGGATGAAAACAAAAACCACAGAGTTCAAGCTTGTCCTAGATGCCTTTAATTTCATGCGAGCGCCCGGCTGGTGATAGTTGCAGACAAGAAATGGATCAACACAACAAACACAAGGCTGCAAAAGAGAGGTGGAAAAAAAAGCAGTTTTATTCTTATAAAATTCTTATAAAATTATGCAGCATAGAGTTCACATGCCTTAAAATAACAAAGCAATGCACTGTTAATTTTCCAGATTATTCTTTTTTTGTACTTTATCCTCATCTATCAAATTAATCCAGTCAAAAAGAAACAGAAGTCAATCCAAACTGAGCAACAGTAGGTTTTAGCCCACAATACAACACACTCCTGACCTTGACATGATTTTTTTTTTAACAATGTTTAAGAGCGTTTTAAACATTAACTGATTTATAACCAGGAGCTGCATGCGTGCTCTACTCCGGACTCCCAAACCTCAAGTTTTCCTACTGCAATGCAATTACAGAAATGCAACAAGTTTGCTTTACTATACAAACAAACCCCTTACAGAAAATGGTCTAAAGCTCTATTAAAAGCTACAATCAGCCAAAGGTTAGAGACAGTTACAGAGCAGCTATAAGCAGAGATGAGAGAAAAAAAAAACATAAAGCTGAGCTAAAGAGCCAGTTCAAACCGTGCGCTGAGAAAAAACAATCCCATCCGACCGCTCCACCGACTCAATGCATTACAGAGGAAATATCAGTCTATTAAAGCTCTCCCCCCAAAACCTTCCCCACCGACGGCATGAAGTTAACATACCCGCAGGGAAATGCGCCTACAGACTGATAAGAACCCCCAAAAGCAAGGCAGAGACATCGACCTGTCCGCACGGACCTAATTCAGAGCTCTGTCTCTGCGCAGCTCATGTATGGACTGTATGAGTGTTAAATGCGACGGAAGGCAGCGGCACGGTGCGCCGTTTAAGTCACAGAATATAAATTAGTTCTGAGAATTTCGGGGGCTGGTTTTCTCGAGCCGGTGACGTCGCCAGCTCGCCGTCCAGTGACTGTGCGGGCTGAACCAAAAGCAGGGGGATTCCGGACCCCGCGAAGCGAATAACTTCGTTGTTATCGACAATTATACGCATTTTATTGCTCGTTTGAACGAGTATTAAAATATATTTTCGCTCTAAAAATCGCCAGGTGCCGTTCGCGTCTGAAGCAGCGCTTTGAAACGAGTTGGTTTTGAAAACTTTAGAAAAAAGTGTCTCTCCCCTGCGCCGGCAGAGTGGTACGGTCTCAGGCTCAAATTCCGAGAATTGTGCTCCTCTGATTCTTAGAACAGGGGTTCTTAGAAGTGGTGATGCAAGAAGTTTCTAGGAAAGCGCTACCAGGTGATTTTTTAAATTCCATTTTTTTTTTATTTAATGTGGCGCGAAGTTTTTATCTGCTGTGTTTCTTGTTTATGTTTTTAGACGTTTGTCCGTTTTTGTGTCTGCTTGGGTGTTTTGTGAAGCCGGCCGGGGCTGAGTGTGGCTGTCAGAGTGTGAACAGAGGAAACTCCGGAGAGAGAGAAAGCGGGCTGCTGCTGCTGCTGCTGTGGGTGACAGCCGGAGCGCCGCTCTCTCCGTCTCTGGCAGACCGGCTCGGCTGTCTCCGCGCGGAGCCGGCTGGCCGGTCGGTCGGTCCGTCTGGAAGCGGCGGGCAGGCGGACGGCAGTCTCCAGCGGTTGTCGGCTGTCACACTCGGTGGTGGTGTAAAGCAGAGTAATAACGCTCTGGTTTAAGAGAGCAACATCGGAGGAAAATGGAGCGCTGAGTGCGGCTCGCAGCGCACGGTGCTCGGGGTGCCTGTGATTAAATCCCCACTTTTTTAGTTCAAGTGACAAAACACAGAGGAACGGCGGCAAGCAAGCGCTGTCACGCGAACTTCGCAGACAGCGTGGCAACCGCGCGTTCGGGCTGTGTATCTATATAGTTTTTAGTGCGCAGCAGCCGCGGTAATTTGCTCTAATGGAGCGCAAAGGGCTGCCCAGAACAAATCCTCCTGTTACCGTAACACTGCAGCGGAAATGTTACTGTTGATGTGTGTGTGTGTGTGTATGTGTGAGAGAGCGGGTGTGTTTTTTCCGCGGCAGAAGCTACAAGTTGTCTCTTATTTTTTTTCCACTGTGACAGCACGCTGTTTGACAAGTTTAAGGTGTCACTCCGAAGGGGAGAGTCTGTCAGAGCTCTGCTCTGGGAGAAACGGAGTTTCGTTTACGGGCTGAATACTTTTGCTCGATTAAACAAGAAACGTGACGAAAGTAAAACAAAAAAAAAAAAAGTTTGGTGACTAAAATGTGAATTATTTAAATTTAACCGACGCAGTCATTTAAAGAACGACTTCAGGTGTCCGTAAGCGTCGTGCCAGACCCCCCGAGAGTAGTTAAACAGTTAATGTATCTGTATCTTCGTATTTTATTCCCCAATTGGTCTGTCTGTGCAGTCCTGCTTCTATTTACGGACGAGTCCAGTTACAAGCTCCACTTCTGATACTTGACTTAATGACACAGTCATAAATCCGCATGTATGCTTCAAAGCCAATTTTAATATTTCTGGTGTTTTTTCTCCCCCTGGTTTGATAAAACCATTGACCCAAAAATGCAGCAGGAGCGTTTTGAGCGGACTTTAAAACATCAGCAAACTGATGTACTGTTACAAGCTGCACCGCGTAGTTTTATCTTAATCACGGCGTTAAAATCTCACGATTTAAATTCAGATTTTTTTTCATGCCGACAGGGTGAAAGATAAATAAATAAATAATCTTTGGGAATTATTTCCCCTACTTTATAATCAGGTTGTCAAAAATGAAACACGCACCGAAAACTTTCTTTGCTCCGGTTTAAGTTGAGACATGCTCTAAGATCTTGATATGCTGTTCATTTGAATAACGCTGATGTCGGTATTTAAATTAGTCTAGACTTCAGTTCCACATAAAAAAAAAGCTAATTATTATTAAATTTTGCCCATTTATGTTGTAGCCATTTTTCCTGTAATTTGTTGCAGTTTATTTAGCTGCTGAATAATTTATCTTGAACTTTATCATGGTAAGCTTTCGATGAGTGTTTCCGAGAGAAAGTGAGGAGGAAAGAAATGATTCTAAAAGCAGAAATTAAAATATCCGAATGTTGTTTTAATAAATGGCGCCGCCTTCTGGCGACATCGTCTCTGTTTCTGATCTGACCATCTCTTTTATGTGGCGATATTAAATAAGTTGAATACAGCTCATTTATCCAAGATCAGATCCTAGAATTTGGTCTTAAAACTAGTGGATTCTGTGTGGAACGGAGTAAACTGATGAGTTTTATCATTTCACAAGAGCAAAAAAAAAAAAATTCATTCTTTTTTATTTTGTTGGCAGAACTTGACAAAATGGCTTGTGCAGCAGACAGCTGCATACAGTTTACGCGCCACGCCAGTGATGTCCTTCTTAATCTGAACCGGCTGCGCAGCAGGGACATCCTCACAGATGTTACCATCCTGGTCAACAGACAGCAGTTTCGTGCACACAAGACTGTTCTCATGGCTTGCAGGTGTGCAGTGTTTATTCTTAAAATTTAAAGCGCATGTTTTCTTTATGCTCTTGGTTTAAATCTAACCCTTTTTTTCTCCATTCATGCACACAGTGGGCTGTTTTACACTATCTTCACTGACTCCCACAAGTGCAACCTTAACGCCATCAGTCTGGACCCAAAGGTGGACCCCGAGGGCTTTGCCATCTTGCTGGAGTTCATGTACACTTCCCGTCTCACACTAAAGGAAAGTCTCATCATGTCCATCATGAATACGGCCATCTATCTGCAGATGGACCACGTCGTGGACACTTGCCACAGATTTATCAAATCCAGGTCGGTGGAATCCGTCAGATCTCTTGTGTAAATCCATGATTATCAGTGTCTGTGTGTTCATAACCCCTCTGTCGTTCCCTGCACAGTGATCCGACTGCCAAGCTGCCCAGAGATGAGTTTCTGGTCAGTCCCTTGGTGTTGCCTCAGGACATCCATGCGTATCGACCCCATGATGTTGTTGACAGTCTGCACAGCCGCTTGGCTCCGTTCAGGGACGGAAGGCCCTACGGCACAAACATGTTCAGCAGTGTCAGCACCCCCAGTAACTACCACCTCTACGGGCAGTTTCCCATGCCGGGATTCCCTTTCCCGATCTGTAAGCTGACTGATACCAAAAACGCTTTCGCCGACCTCTCAAAGAGTGGGATCCACCACAAACACTGCCCTCCTCATGACGGCACCAATGGCATCAGGGCAGACTACGCCAGAGCGCTTGGTACCGGCTCCTCTGGCATTATTCACTCAACCACCTTCGCTTCCAGAGAGATAGGAAGAGACGATGAGATGAGGAAGGAGGGGCACGAGGGCCAGCCCATTGGCCTCAGCTCAAGGAAGCGCGCATTCCCTGTGTTGACCCTTGAGCACCAGAAAGACTTGAGCAAAGAGCATGGTTCACAGGCAGAGGACGACCTCATCCATCAGCACTATCCTTTGGGAATCTCCGCCGGGCGCAAGAGTCTCATGAGCAGCCCGCAGAGTCCCCTAAAATCGGACTGCCAGCCCAACTCCCCGACAGAGTCCAGCAGCAGCAAGAATGCCAGCCTCTCCCACATTGGCGGAGGGCAAGTGACGCAGGGTACGCCAGACCCTAAAGCTCGCAACTGGAAGAAGTACAAGTTTATCGTACTAAACCAGAGCGCGAAAGACGACGAGGCAGGGCTGAGGGATCCCGGGCTCCGCTCCCCTCAGCGCCTCGGCCTGCAGCCCTACATCCACCCTGGCGACTCGGAGAGCCTTGACGCGCAAGCCACGAGTAAGAGCAGCGACCACGAGGACCTACCCGTGCCACAGGCCAGCCGTCTCAACAACATCATCAACAGGTGAGGGCCTTTAAGATGCGAGTTTAAGAAATGTCATCTTGTGGATGATGGAAGTCTTGAGTGTTTGTTTTTTATCTTTTCTCTCCCAGTGCGCTCGAGGGGTCACTGAGGAACGGCGACGGCCACCCTTCCCACTACCTGAACCGCCTCGGCTGCTCGACCTGCGGCTCTCAGTCCCCCCAACACTCCAACGTCTGTCCCAACAACCCCAGGTCACGCCTCTCTGAAGACATGGCGGAGCTCCACTCAGAGTATTCAGACTCCAGTTGTGGTGAGTTCATGGTTTCAAGTTTGGATTACAAATGCTTCTATCCGGCATCAACCATTAACGAAATCCGATTTCTCTTCCCTCCACCAAGCAGAAAACGGTACGTTCTTCTGTAACGAATGCGACTCCAAGTTTGCCGACGACGAAGCCCTGAAACAACACATGCTTCAAGTCCACAGCGACAAGCCATACAAGTGTGACCGCTGTCAGGCCGCTTTCCGCTACAAGGGCAACCTCGCCAGCCACAAGACCGTCCACACAGGTACTGAACTGAAAAGACATCTCTCGTTTTTATCTTCAAGTCTTTGTCATTGAAGTCTAAACCGATTTCTTTCTTTTCAGGAGAGAAGCCGTACCGCTGTAACATCTGTGGCGCTCAGTTTAACAGACCAGCTAACCTCAAGACTCATACTCGCATCCACTCAGGAGAGAAGCCATACAAATGTGAGACATGTGGAGCTCGTTTTGTACAGGTAAGTCCAAGGCTAAACCGGCCCTTAACGTACAAAACTGTGCTTTAAAGGCTGTTCAAACATTTGAATCAATCATTTTATTTGGGGTTCCTGTTTCAGGTCGCTCATCTTCGTGCCCATGTGTTGATCCACACTGGTGAGAAGCCATACCCATGTGAGATCTGCGGAACACGTTTCCGTCACCTGCAGACGCTGAAAAGCCACCTGCGCATCCACACGGGAGAGAAACCCTACCATGTAGGTTGATTAGAAGAGATTCACTCCAATTCTCACTTGATTGGCTCTCAATGGCAGGTCAAATAGCAAATCATTCAATAGAATCCCTCAATACAAGCATCAAAACTAAAAGTTGACTATTTTTTTTGTTGATAAACATCAATTAGCCACATGTACTACAATGCCCTTTCCTGGAGGTTGGGGATGTATATGTCGAAGCATTTTTAAAAAATATTTATATATTTTCGTTTCAGTGTGAAAAATGCAACTTGCACTTCCGCCACAAGAGCCAGCTGCGGCTGCACCTCCGACAGAAGCACGGCGCCATCACCAACACCAAGATCCAGTACCGCATGTCCACAGCAGAAATGCCTACCGACCTGACAAAGGCATGCTAAGCTAAGCTAAAAGAGGGGAACAAAAACAAAAAACGGTTACCTTGGAGGCAGTCTTGACCCTGGCATTTAACGACCCCCACCCCCTTCAAACTTGTACAATCATCCAAAATTGTAGTGCCACACTGTGTTTTTGAGACAATTCAATTGGCTGCGTCTGCCATTCTAAACGGGTTTCCACTACATGTGATGCTAGTGCCACTTATGGTATCTTAGTCACTTTATGATTTCTATATAGATCTAATTATATAAATATATATATATATATATGTATGTTGGGAGTGTTTTTAAGCTTTGAAGGTACGTATATAAAAGCTTTATTTTGTTGAGAAGGACGAAATGTAAACAATGTGGGTTTTTTTGTGGAAAATACAGTATTTTATATCAGAGAACTTACTTTTCTGAAAGTATTGACAATTTTGACAGGTGGTACATATATTTTAAGAAAAAAAATAAACAGGCTTTGTGGCTATATAAATTTGTCTAGACATTTTTAAGCATATGTACAGACACGTAGGCGTAAAAGGCAGGACGGGTGGGGCGCATTGGGACTGGAGGGAAAACGTATCGGACGGCTGCTGCTGTCTGACTGTTGTGCATGAGGTATTTCTTACCGTTGTCGGGCAGACCACGTAAATATTGTGACATATTGTGTTCTATCTGTGCGATTGCTCTCTGCTGGCAGAGCCAATCTAAGCGTTTTTTGAACTGCATTTCTGGGTACTGCTTTGTAACGACCAAGAAAAAGAAAAAAAAAATAGAAAGATGTTCTCATTTTGTTTATCTGTTTTTGTTTGGGTTTTTTTTTTTTGCTTTTTTTTTCCTTTTTTTGCTTCAGATGTGTTTATATATAGATGTGACTTTAGGTTTTTGTTAATTTTTTTTTCATAAGTGAAAGTTTACAGTTCTTGCTCTTTGTTCCAGATCCTACCGTAAACTTGTGTCAATGTTGAGCTCTTATTATTTTTTTTGTTTGTTTGTAGATACACTGTGTATTCAATGTGCCTTTCTCTAAGCTGGCTGACCTCTTCAGGGTTCAGACCAGCTCTATTAAAGGTACAACTCAAGGACACCACTTGTCCTAATTCCCAGTATGTGTGTATGTGTGTGTATGTATATATTTCTAAATACTTGTCTGTAACCTTACAACATGAAACTTTATCATTGTAAAAAAAATTCAAGACTTTTTTTTTGGATTGGGTTTCTTTTTTTTTAAACTGCATTAAAATTATTGTACAATGTTATAAATGTATGAATGTAAAATAAAGGTACTGGATTTCTATGTATTGAAAGCAGAGTTTTTCATTTTTGTTTAGAAAAACTGTAATAATGATTGCTTTTAATTTATCACCAAAGTCTTCAACATGTAGAGAATATTTGGATTTTATGCCATTTAATAATACAAAGTAGAGCAGAATTGTGATGCGACTAATAGTGGTCAAATAATTTCTCTGCAGCTCCTCTAGAGTTACTCTGAGCATTATAGTTAGTTCTGTGTTTCCAGGCTAATAGTTTAGATCAATAATGTGTTGAACAGAGATGTTCAAAACCCTGACCCTGCTTTTCTTGGTCTTCATAATTATTTTGGGGTAACAGAGTATAAAGAGAGCTGAGGGGAAAACAGCACACCAATCTTTCAAAGGACATTAACTGAAAAAATATCTTTCATATATTTGAAAAAAAGTTCCTGTCACTTTCTAATATGAATTAGTTTGGGGTTAGTCTGTTGCATAAAAATCCCAATAAAATAAACAATATTGTAACATGAAAAAATTTGGAAAAGATTCAAGTGGTGTGAATATTTTTTTTCCCCACCAAACAAAAAGAAGGAGAAAAAAAAACTACTGACATGTGGGCAGGATTACAATGGAGTCAGATTAGCTGCTCCTACTGACGTTTCTGCTCTAAGCAGCACCAAGAAAAGGACACAAGAAATCAGTCTGTGGATTTAGCAGGTTTAAGAAGTGTTCGTTTTGCTGCGATTCGTCGCATTTAGGAATGATCCTGCACCAAGAAACTGCAGCTCTGTTACTCAGAAGGGCTCTCACTGTAAACGATATTTCAGTCGATTCTTCCATCTGTTCAGCAGCTAAAGAAAAGACAATCAGTCTTATTTAAGCCAAGAGAAACTCTAGTCACTGATGGGAACTTGGCAAGACAGCGGGGCACTTCCAGTCGTTTTTCATGGATTCACTAGAAATTAAATAATTATTTATAATCTAATTTTGACAGCTTGACAAAAACAAAAATAATTACATAATTATACAAAGTACATCTTTACATTACTGGATCTAAAGCCTTGAATGTTAATGTGCATCGTCTGCTGTCCTCTAATGGTGCAAAAACAAAATGACACAGACAGGTGCTTTTGGTAGAACGTCAATGAAGTAAAAAAGAAATGTAGTTTTAAAAAATATATACTGTGATTAAGTTTTAACCAACGATTCAAAAATTTGTCATTTTGTTTTCAAATTCCCCCGATTCAAATCTAGGAATTGCCTGCTGTGTCCAAGTTGTGTAACTGGACCGGAACCAGGACCAGCCTCTGCTGTGTTACTTAACTTTACGGTCAGCACTGTGGGAAAACTGCAACATCTTCCTCTCATATCAGATCTAACATTCCACCATACGCCTACTTCCTGCTAATAAAATCATCTAAAATGAGCAGCAGATAAAAATTACAGCTAGAAAACAATGGCAGATTTACAGTCATGACAGAAAAAAAAAATTCATCCTCTCAATCCAAACGTTTATGTATCTTCATATAAGAAAGTAAAAATCCAGCTGGTCCCGCTGTCAGTGACGTAAATGTTTAACAAATACAACGCTAGAAGAAAAACTGATCCTGAATTTAGGCACAGTGTGTTTCAGCCTCAAAGCCAGTGTGGGTTATGAGAGGGCATGTGGCAGGCTGAAGCCGCTAATCAAAACTGTTCTGACCGTCAGCCTGCTGGGTCGTATTTAAACTATTAGAATCAATACCAAATGGAAAACATTTGATTCAGCTGCCAGTTTTCCAAAGAACAAACATCCCAAGAGATTGGACCGTGCACGGAACAAGAAAACCCCTACAGGCTGAGCATGACTATGTTTGGATAAATAATAAACAATTTGGGTGTTCAAATAAGCAGAGCTAGACAATGGATAGATAATAGCAGCCTGTATACGACACAAAAGTACTTCCTTAAAAATAAAGAGTGTTAGTAACAGCAAAGAGTTGCTCACACTGAGGGAGAAACAGTAAAAAAAAAAAAAAAAAAGCAAAAGTGCAACTCAGACCTAATCTTCTTAACCATCATCTTCCTACGCGCTCGATTCTCATCGCCCTTCAATGATATCTCTCATTGAGCTCGATTTCTCTGGCTGGATTTCTAATGGACCAATCAGAGAACAGGAGACGTTTTGAACAGTGACTTTGATTTTCTGCGCAGTTTTAGAATTGTAGTCTGCCCGTATGAGTGGTGGTAGTTTCAGCAATGGCAGCACAGAGGAAGTGAACAAAGTCATTCTGTCTGTGTTGGCCACACCTCTAAATATCAATCAATTAAAGTTGGAGCAAGAAGAATGTTCAAGACATTGTATTGCTGGCAAAGAACAAGAACATTCGTCTTGGCACGTCTCTCTTCATAATGGGGAATGGTTGTTTACAGCGCAAGCAGTTTCCGGAAAACTTCATAGCGTAGCTGGCGCATTACATACGTCACCGCCAAACGTCAGCGATTGGGTAAAATCAGATTCAATCGTTTAAAACTTCAACAGAGTCCATGCCTCCAGCAAGCAATCATTTCTCAATAGTGGATGGCCAGATACTCTGTACGAAGCAAATGTAGAATAAGGGGCTGGTTTTTACCAAGCCAAGTGAAGTAAAGTACAATACACAGATTAGAAAACACTGAGTAGGTGTGGATTGTTTTGATGGAGTTCCAGGAAGCTTATTCTCTCTAAAAATAATAATAATAGCAGCACTGGTTCACATTTAGAAGGTTGAATCTGAACACACCAGAAGACTTCGGAAAGAACATGGTCTGAGATGACAAAATCAGAGAACCGCCACAGCAAACATCGACTTTACTGCACTGAAGTCGTAGATTGATCCATGAACTCCTCTACGTACCAAAGTTTTCTATTTAAACGTGAAGCCAGCTGAAGCTCGGCCCAAACACTGCAGCACATTTACAACAGAATGCATAAAAAGAGAGATAGACAAGATGAAAGGTGCTACAATAAGCCCTGCTCAAAGTCCAGACTTTAACTTGAATAAAAGGCTTTGGTAGGACCATAAACCGATGCACATAAAACCCACAAGAACTCAAAATGAAGAAGGGACGGTGTTTTCCAGAACAATGTGCGAGAGGGATAAGGTCACACAGGCGACAGTAACGTCAAGTTATTACTGCTGTGGGACGTGCTGCCGACTATTAGGGTCATGGAGGGAACTGGTGAATTTTGGGTCAGCTTTAAAACAAACAATAAAATAAGACATAAGACGAAGACATTCGCAGATCTAATGGCGTTGTGTGACACAGCGCGTGAAACACGGAGCCGTTTTCAGTCGACTCAGCACTCAGATTCAGACAAACACAAACAAGCTAATGAAATTTTTGCTTTATTTCCAAAAAAAAAAAAAAAATACACATAATTACAAAATGACTTCTTCCACGGTCATAGTTGATGTTGACACATCAAAGTATTTCTCCAAAAACAATTTTAAAAAAAATCTACAAGTTGAGGTGAAAAGGCAGGAGAATTTCTTAACGAAGAAAATGAAATAAGGATTAAAATATTGTAACCTTATTTGTAGAAAAAAAAGAGAAAAAAAAGAGACTTTTTTAAGTTTTAAACCAGCACAGTCAATACAAACACAGTCCTCTGTTGTTTGAACTCACTAAAAGACTCGCTAAACGTCCTGCGAGTTTGAGACAACCAACCCTGCTCTGCAAATCTCCATAATCAGAACGCACAAAAAAAAAAAAGTTTTTTTTTTTTTTGTTGTTGAAGTAAATCAAACTGCCATCTTTAAACAGTTATTACAAAACGTAAAGTCGTATCTCAAACCCTCCCCTCCCCCTCCCCATCCCATCCTCACGACGGCGATCACTGCTTCTGCTGCATGGCTTCTTTTCGCGCTGCGTCTTGGAGCAGCTGCGTGTCCACCTCGTCGGCCGGCAGCTGGACGTACCGGACCACCGATCCACGGATGAAGCAGTTTTTCACCGACAGCTGAAGCAAACAGAACATGGTGCAGTTTGATGGCAGGACGGAGCAAAATCTGGCTCAGAATTGAATAAATACCTGATCCTAATGCAGTGTCAAACAAAAAGATTACTGAAGGGGTTTGTAATTTTGTTGACTTCTTCTGAAAGTTTCTTTGAATGTGAATTCGTTTAAACCAGGGGTGTCCAAAGTCGGTCCTCGAGGGCCGGCATCCTGCATGTTTTAGTTCTCTCCCTAGTTTAACGCACCTGGATCAAATGATGGCTCATAGAAGGCCTAAGAGGAACACTGACCTGCTGAAAAGGTCGTTAGTACCACCAGGGAGAGAACTAAAACGTGCAGGACGCCGGCCCTAGAGGACTGACTTTGGACACCCCTGGTTTAAACAGTGAGGCCACTGTTTTGACATAGACAGTGTTTTGTCAGGGCATTGCCCCTTTTTCAGGGGTTTTTAATCATTCTTGGTGTTGAAATTAAAGGTTTTTCCAGACAAATTAAAAGAGCTGTTTGAATCAGTCTCTTTAAAGACAGTTTATAATGTACTGATTAAAAAATAAAGGCAAGCAATTTCATATATGGAATGAACCTCAATACTTCTCCACAATGCTCTTTAATGAGTTTGTTTTGTTGTTGTTGCCTCATAAGTTTGGAAAGAAATAGTCATGGCACTTCCAGAAGTCAGCTTACCATATGTGGATATTTCTCTGGATCTGTGACGCTGATGTCTGTCAACTTGATGTTCAGGTACTGAAACATAAATATGGGAAAGGAAGAAAAATAAATAATAAGAAAACAATGCAAATCCTAAAAGGCATTGATTTTAAATAATAAAAATCATAAAACCAACCTGGTCAACAGAGTGAAGCGTTCCACAGATGCTGAAAACAGATGAAGGATTTCATTAATCACCCAAATCTACAGCTATAACCTCCTATGCATTACTGGGACTCTCTCACGTGAACATATTTATCCATACAAATTACAAAAAGCTACTCGAAAGGGCAGAATAGATTATTTGATCATGTCAGTGTAAGTATTCATTCATACAGTAGCTTTCACTCGGCTACTGCAGCATTTCAACCAGCTAGCATCCTTTCGTCTACCTGAATAGCAGCAGCTACAGCGGAATAACGTTACAGTTTTAGGTGTTTTAGTCATAAACACTAACCTCAGGTCGTTTTTGAGCTCCACCACTACGTCCTTCCCCACTAGCGACTTGAAAAATGAGTAGAAAAGCTGGGAAACAGAACGACATGCTAACGTTACTGTTAGCAAGGAAGCTACATGTCAAGCATGATGGAGAAGGTTTATAAAAGAGCCGCAGTACTCAGACCACTTTAGGCAACAATAATGAGGTCGAAATCACACAAGAACTGGTCCAATTACAAGGAGTCTGTAAACTGCTAGTAAATCTAAAAAGTTATTCAAGCTTCTTACCATTCTTGCTTGTGGTTTTTTGGAGGCAGCGCGTCTTCTGTTGATGACGTTTCAGGCTGCATTGACTGACCGGCTCCACCAGGGGGAGCCAGAGGTGTTTTCTAGTGCTCACAATTTCAACAAAGAAATAAAGGCTTTGGTAAGATTGTCCAAAGGAGCCACAATTCACAAAATATATGACCATTAGATAATTTATTGGGCTTAAAATGAATGGAATATCTTGGTTTTATTTACGGAAAGTATACGTAAGTTAATATTTCATGTTTTTATTTTGTCTTAACCCTTGTGCGTGCGGGGACTGAGGCAAACGTAGAGGACTATGGCAAATAATGTAAGTTTTACGTGTGTGGGGTCGGTTGGACCCCATTTCTACATACAAGGTTTAAAGTAGCAATTGGGAGCCATAAGAGATGGTCAGAAGTTAATTTACTAGTATGGAATCAATTGCAGCACACTGCAACACCGGAGTTACTGAAATACTCAAACAAAAGTTATAACGAAGCGGGTTGAAAGATGGAAGAGTTACCAAGCTCAGTGGTCACTAAAATGGCAACTTTTAAAAATTAAAATGACAACTGTTTCCATGTATGAAAGCAACTTACCAAAAACACACTCAAGCCTATACATTTCTAGATGATAGCTGTGACAATATATTTCTTCACAACAAATTTTATGTAAAACTTTTCTAGTTTTATGGACAATCATGATAAGAAAATACATTTGTGACACAAAATACAACAAAGTCAAATGAAACTTTGACAATTGTATTTATTTTTGAATTTATTGTACATCTGAAGAAAAATACTTAATTATTCATGCAATTTAATACTGTGTGGTAAACATTCATTAGCCACAGTATAGTGTAAAAGTTTCTGTTTGTAATTATTTGGAAGGAGAGTACAGTTTTGTAACCTACAGTGTAACCTACACCAGAAACCCACCCTGAAAATGTAACTTTCTGTAACAACAAAGGGAAAGTATGTAGGATGTAGCAAATTCTAACCCTGACCCCTCCAACCAAACATGTACATGAAACCTTGAAAACAAAGAAAACATGCAACTTTCCCTTTCTTGAACCCATGTTTGCTTTGACCACTCTGGGCTACCATAGAAACCTGGCTGTGTATCAGGAAACAAATCTCACTTGTAATGAAAATAAAAACCTAATGCTAATAAAAACATAACTATACACGTTTAATTTCTACTTACAAATCTCATTCAGTGACATAAACTGGAGCTTTATGGAAAGAGTTTGACACTTTGTTAAGACACTAGCATTTTGGGTTGAGAAATGTGATCTGTTAAATTTGAAGCTGAAGCCATCATTCAGTCAACTTAGCTTAGCATAAGACTGGAAAAGGAGCTTAGTTCTAACTATATGCTGTAGAAAAAGGGGGGAATAAGTTTTTCTTGACACTGTAGAAAAATGATAAGCTACTCTGTGATACAAAGTGATGAGAAGAACTGGTCAAAGCTTTGACTTTATATTTAGTTAGTAAAATGCAGGGCAGGAAGCAGTTCTGTCAGTGCTGGACTTATTTGCAGCTTTATATCAGTTCACTGGACGGCCCGTCTTGGGATGCTCTGAATGCACTGAAATAAGAAAAACAAATTATCAGACTGTGTTGATTCAATTGTGCCCTTAAACCTTTAGCGCGTGCCTTACTGTCTTTCTGAGGCGGTAGCGGGCCGGGTCTTGTCGGAGCTCTCTGTTTGCTGGGAAACTCTGATGTGTCTCTGTAATCTCTGGGTTTAGGGGTCTGAGGTTCCGGACGTGACTTAGTGGGCAAAGGAGGCCGATGCGACGCCATGCCTCCCTCCGAGCGGGAGGGAACCACAGGCTTCTTGTGTCCTGGTGGGTGCAAACCTACAGGGGTCTGAGGCTGGGATCTGTTCTCAGAAGAAGTGAAGGAGCGGTTACGTGGCACAAGCAAAGGGGGGCGATTAGGGTCTCCATCTATGGTCGGCGTAAGACGGTCCAGCTGGGGATGACCTTGGTCTTTGGCCTGGTTGTGGGATTTGGCCATGGAACCGTACAGTGGGTTGTCCAACATCTCAGACAACTTCTCGTCCTCATTCCTAGAAATGTGCAAGCAGCAGCAGAAATTTTATTGAAAATTAGGAAAAACTGTGAAAATAGCAGCAGAGATGTAAGTATTTGTGGCTTGGCGGGTTTTAAAATATGTTGGAGGTTGAAATGCATCAATAAAATCCCCAAATCTATTTGACATTCATGCCGAGGATGAATGGATGGAAACCTTTCAGCAGCGCCACATTTTTTAGTTGTGGTTTTTTGGAAAAATGACCGAATATGAAAGTGTATTATTAATATTCAGGCACTTACGTGGTATAATTAATTGTAGTGGGACTTCGTACGCCCACATCGTAACCGGGCTTCTTACACTCTTTACCCCCCTGAGCCCCACCGGAGACATTCCTTGGGGTCATGCTGTAACTCCAGCCCCTATCCGACACATTCCCACTTTTGAAAGAAAATCCCATATAATTTGGGTTGGAGATATCATGCGCCGGCGTTACGACGGACCTGTTAACGAGAAGACAACACCGCAAGTTTTAGAGGAATGTTTAAGGGTTGCGTTTTGAGTTTTGGAAAAAAAAATAGAGTGTCTTACTTGTCTTTGCCTTTTGAAGGAGCGGCGTCGTCTCTTTCGATTTTAATGAAATCTGGAAACGGAAGAACAGGAAGAGTTGATTTCAGAAACCGGGAAGGGATTTAACGAGGGATCACCTGAAGAACATCTCCAAGATTAGAGGACTGATGTCTCAGTGCGATCTAGAGAAACTCATCCATGCGTTTATCTTTAGCCGCATTGATTACTGCAACAGCGTCTTCACAGGTCTGACTAATAAATCAATCAAACAGCTGCAGCTGATCCAGAATGCTGCTGCTCGCGTTCTCACTAGAACCAGGAAGATAGAGCACATAACACCAGTTTTAAAGTCCCTACACTGACTCCCTGTAGCTCAAACAATAGACTTCAAAATACTGTTGTTAGTTTATAAATCACTGAACGGTTTAGCACCACAATACAATAAAGATCTGTTATTGTTGTATCAACCTTCCAGACCCCTCAGATCTTCTGGTTCTGGTTCTGCTCTGCATCCCCAGAACCAGAACCAAACGAGGAGAAGCAGCATTCAGTTTCTATGCACCACAGATTTGGAACAAACTTCCAGAAAACTGTAAAACAGCTGAAACACTGAGAGCCTTTAAATCTAGACTTAAAACCCACCTGTTTAGAGTTGCTTATGGCTAAATTAGGGTTAGAGTGTGGGTTTTGATGTCTTCAATGATTTTAATGTTTTTGTCTTTACTTTTCATCTATTTATTAATGTCACATACTGTTTTTATTTCTTCTTTAATTATGTAAAGCACCTTCAAATGCCTTGCTGCTGAAATGTGCTATACAAATAAAATTTGATTGATTGATTGATTGATTGATTGATTGAGGGTTGTTTTCTTCCTCCCAGCCTCACCGTATAACTTCTCAGTGGGCTTGAACTCGGAGGTGCGCAGCTGGATGCCCCCGGTCAGCGTGCCCGTCTTCTCTCCCTGGTGGGTCAGCGTGATCTGGAACTCCCTGTAGCAGAACTGGGCGGCTCGCAGCGCAACGCATCCCTCCCCTTCAGGAAGCAAACACCAGCCGATCGTGAGGTCCTTTAAAATCACACTTAAAAAATCTAAACTTTTTTGTCCATTAGTCTCTTATGGGGTTAAAATTGACCAATTCTTTAGAAAGCAATATTTAAGCTCCGGTGTAATTATAAATTCAAAGACAGTGGATTCAAGGAACCTGCTAAGTCAATCTGACACAGATGATTGGATAGACAAAAAATAAAATTCGAGTAAATGTCGCAGTACTTCAACATATTTTTACTCAAGTAAATGTAAAAAGTAGAGGGAAAAAAAAGTTTACAATTCCGGCAAAAAACATCTGAAATTTTGAGATTAATCTCAGAAATTCTCTGGAAAAAAAACAACAAAAACACACATTACATTTTGTTACATCCTTCACAGAGGATGTAAAGTACGTACAGAAACATTTTGACAATGTCTTCTCCCACCTTGTCCCCTCTCACTTACCGTACGACTCGTCACAATCTGTGGATTTGACGCAGATGAGGATGTGCTGCTCCAGCAGGTAATCGGGGTCGGAAATGATCGGCGTGAGCTTGGAGAGACGGGAATGAGGCTATCAACGATTCAGTTTTAACCATGAAGAAAAAAAAAAAAAAAACCTGCTTCATTTTACCTCGACTTTATTCCCGAACCAAACTTTTATGGAGCCGTCGGATTGTTCCGTGTTGTCTCCTTCTGAGGTCTTCACAGTTTCTGTGGAAGACGTTTGTTTTTGATCAGTTTCTGGATCTTTTAACTGCGGATTAAACGTGCTGAGTCAGATGAAACGTACTCTCCAAGCAGCTGGAGTGAAACTCGATGAAGAACCTGGTCTTTGACTTCGTCAGCAGGATGGCCACACAGTTCATGATCTGGATCCCACCCTGAGGAGCGCTGTTGGGATCTGAAGAGTCAAAGCAAAGACCAAGGCATCAGACCGCAGGGCGCGGCCATCTTTGATTGACTTAGGCCACATGCGTCAGACTCAAGGCCCTAAAACAGGGAGCTCTTTATAATCCAAAGAGACATGAATGTAATATGACCTTTGTAAAAAAAAAATTCTATTTTAGGAATTTTGTTGTCATTTATAAGGAAACACTGTTTTGTTTCTATTTTTAGGTTTTAAAATTAAGAAAAAACATAAAACTTTGTAATAAATAAAAAGGATAGAATCAAATTTTTTTCTGTGGGATGTTGACGTTTGTGGAAAATAATATGAAAAAAAAACCCCTCAAAGTTTAAAGCCTAAAAACCAAAAATTAGATCTACTAAATGTCTTTTATTGTGTAAATTCAAAGCACAAATGAAGGACAAATCTGTATTCTTGATTACAACTATAAACTATATTTGAAACATCAGTTGGTTTCACATCATTATCAGGCAAAAATATTAAGAGCCATTACTACAGGTTCAAAGAGACTTTACTTTAAAGGGACATCATTATGTGTTTTC